CCACCCAGCACAACCTCGGTGGGGAGCAGAGGAAAAGGGCTGCAAATACACCCTGGAGGCTCTGAGATTGAAGGGAGGAGTTGGGTGGGAGCTGCCTCGCTCCGTGCAGCGCTCCCGCCTGCATCCAGCAGGTCGCCAGGATTTTACGGCATTACCCAAAAATTAATTAACGCCCTGAAACCGCCGCCCTAAACACCGACACCGCATTCACCATTGCCGTTTACAGGTGGCTGCTGCTTCCCTCCGAGTTATTCCCGTGTCCCTGTCACCCTCTGGATGGTGCTGAGCCTCTCGCCGCTGTCGGGCTGTGCCCGACCCGCTGCGGTGCCTTATATACCGCCTTAATTACCGCGTTAATTACCGCGTTAATTACCGCCTTAATTACCGCGTTAATCACGCGCAGCTGATGTGCTGCGCTTTCCCGAGCGCCTCCTGCGAGCAGAGGCTGAGCCTGAATCCCGAATCTGCCGCAGGGAAACACTCGGGGGATGCAGGAGGGATGGGGATTCTCTGCTCCCAGGGTTGTTTGGAGCATCGCTGCAGAAAGAGAGAGCGCGGCTCGGTGAGCGCAGCAACCGTGGAAATGGAGATTCCCTGTCTGGAGAGAGGAGAAGGATTTCACAGTCCGGTATTAAAGGAAAAGCATCATTGGGAATATCCAGATTTCCAGCCCCAGCCTGGTCCCGCAGCCCTCTTTAGGGACAAGCCCCACTCCCATGAAAACTTCCACTTTTTTATCCATTTCCACCTTAAACAAAAGCATTAGCTCAAAGGAATCTTATTAAAGAATTGCCTAAAGAATAATGAGTAAATACAATGGCATAACAAAAACGTCAATAAAAAAAATCCCAAAGCAACTTCTCTTCATTGTAGCTTTAAACTTCATGGGTTTAAAATTCCACCCCAGTCTGTGGCTGAATTCTTCGGGTCACTTTGTTGTGGTCTCTGTTTATACTTCAAAGGTTTTAACTGCTCCTATTCATGTTCTGCTTCTTCCTGGCCCAGGGAAGGGGTTGGAACGAGGTGGTCTCTGGGGTCCCCTCCGACCCAAACCACTCCATGATTCCACAATTTCATGCTCTACTTGCAAAGTTTGCAATTCCTTGGAGTTCAGGGTATTTTAGYCCAACAGCTCCTCCTTGAGAGATTCACAGCAACAACCCCTGGGACAGCTCACAGCAGCAAAATGTGAGTGATATGCACAAAGCACAGGAGGTGGGTGCTCCAAAACATCTGGCTGTGTCATCTGGGAGGAAAACACCCCCTAAAATATCCCTGTGAGCTGGGTGAGCCTCTGGTACTGGGTGCTGCTGCAGCCGGGGAAACACGAAAAAAAACCCCAGCAGCTGAGAGCCAAAGCCAGCCTGCAGCACAAGGAGAGAACCTCCAGACAGCCGTRAAAGCCAAAGCGCTGCGCTGCTTTTCATCTTCAAAGCACGTTCAAAGCAGCACCCAATTAATCTTTGCAGCAGCTCTGTGTGCTCAGGAGCCTCAGACATCGCCTCTGTTTGTGGATACAAAGAGCCAAARGTGGTGGAATTTGTTCCAGACCAAAAGGAGTCTGTGCTGAGGTGGAGCTGGGTGCTGGGTTTGCACCACAAACCTGTCCAGGTTACACTCCCAAGAAAAAGGATATAAAGACAAAGAAGAGATTTAAATATTTTTTAAGTGAAACAGGGATTCAAACAACAAAACCACACAGTGG